TGGTGGAGTCAGGCTAGCGGGGCAGTGGCGTGTCGGTGCAGTGGCGAGGCGATGCGGTGCAGGCAAACCAGCAGCGCCGACGAAGACGATCGGGTTCGCCGAGTCCCTCCCACGGGTCCTTCTCCTACATAAAAAGGCAATAGGTTAGAATCCATTGAAAATTTCGGCAGCACCTCCCCTGCACGGGGAGGTTTCCAAAACCTGCAAGAAACGTAGGCGCGATGGCCAACAACCACATATATACCAAACATAGGCACGAAGGCCAACAAACATATATATACCAAGACGAGCCATGTACTTTAGTTCTCTTTCCATGCAGATGAAAGTATCGAAGTAGTACAACAACAAGTACTACTACCACTACAACTACTACTAACACTAACACTACTACTACTAACAATACTACTATCACTACTTACTACTAACAATACTACTAACACTACTAACTACTAACTACTACTACTTACTAACTACTACTAACACTACTAAGTACTACTACTAACTACTACAGGTGTAGGGCATACCTTCGCGATGAGAATGGCAACAACGAGGGTCGGCGACGACGGCGGGGATGACCGTAGCGGCGTGAGGGTCGACGGGCCTAGGCTGCCACCTTCCTTCTCCTTCTCCTCCTCTCTTCTCCCCTGCCTCCTCCTCCTCTCTTCTGCAGTGGCCGCCGAGGGGGGCGCGCAGGCAGGGGAGGTGGCCGCCAAGGGGGCCGCCTTGAGCGGTGGAGGCCGTCTTGTGGCACAAGGCAAGCAAGCATTGGCGCTGGGAGGCAGACGGGATCGGGCGCCAGTGGGGGCCCAGCAGGGAGGCGCAGATGGCAAGGCGGGCGCTGGCAGCGATGTCTTGGCGATCCGAGGAGAGAGAGGTGAGAGGGAGAGAGAAATGAGAGAAAGAGAGAGAGAGCGCGCCGACCGGGCGTGGGTGAAGGATAAGGCGGCTTTGCCGAGTGCCAGATCGGCGGCACTCGGCAAAGTCAATTTTCTTCGCCGAGTGTCGTGATCTGGCACTCTGCGAAGTTTTTAAAAAAATTCAGCGGCTCTTTGCCGAGTGCCAACCCTAGGCACTCGGCAAAATAATTTTTTTTTGATTTTTTGCCACAATTTTTTTTGAAGCTTTAGTACACTACCACAAACAACATGTTTAAATTTGGGACATTTTCATTGCCTTTTGGCATATTTCTATAGTTTATTTTGTTTTGTTGAATTTTTTGGAAAATGTAGATGTTTGAATTTGAGAGCATCGTAATGGATTACATTCGTTCAAAAATTTATCCTTGTTTTTAGTGTAAATTTAGGCTAAATCGAGGCGTCTCGAAAACTTCGATTAAGTTTCTCAGGATTTTAGGAATTCGTGGGATTTTTTTTAATTGTATAAAATACACTCCCGACGCTTCCATTGATTTTAGCGAGTTGCTCGTCTTATCTGTCATTAAAAAGCACGCTGATCGAAAAAGTTTCGAGACACGTTGAGCGTCTGATCTCAATTTAGTCCTTTGATTTACACTAAGAAACAAGGATAACATTTTTTGAACGAATGTAATCCATTATTCGATGCACCTGCAGTTCAAACTTACATTTTTTGGAAAAATTCAACAAAACAAAATAAACTATAGAAATATGCCAAAAGGCAATGAAAATGTCCCAAATTTAAACATGTTGTTTGTGGTAGTGCACTAAAGCTTCAAAAAAATTGATGGCAAAAAACCAAAATTTTGTTTTTTGCCGAGTGCCAAGTTTTGGCACTCGGCAAAATAAATTCTTTGCCGAGTGCCAAACGGGGGGCACTCGGCAAAGAGGACGCCGTTGGATGCTGTTAGTCCCCTACCAATCTTTGCTGAGTGTCTGCCTTTGCCAAGTGCAGGTCTTTGCTGAGTGCCATATTTTGCCGAGTGCCCGAAATTTGGCACTCGGCAAAGATTTTTGCACTCGGCAAATCACGTGTTTCCCGTAGTGCATGGTTTTGTCTTGTCCCGCGTACATAATTTGTTTTTGTCATTTTGCGTTTTATATCTGATCTGCTGATCTAACTGTGTTCATGGATCGTGTGTTCTTTATATGCTGAGTGACAAGGGTATCTGTCATACGACAGGTATCACCAGAAATTTGACCTTCAGGTAGTCTGAAATGGACACAAGAGTCTAAAATGGGCTGGGATAAAGGAAACAAAAGAAATGAATTGGAGATAAAGAGAGGGAAACATCTAAAGTGAAACAATTCGCATGCGTTGTATGAAATTTCAAAGGCACGCGAATTATTTGTCAAATATATTGAGGATACACGTGTCAAATATTGAAATCTCTCAACCGTTTCATATAATATCAAGGTTGAATACCTATATTTCATTAGTCCATATTCATGTAAAGACCACGAGTTTGCTAGCCACAGACACTAAAACAAAGATGGCTTTACCTCCCAAGTTTCATCCCTTCAGTTTATGCACTTATTAACGCAAAACTGGCCAACACTAGCAGAGGCTACATCGCCAGGGCTGCATACGGCCGAGATACAGGTCTAAAGGACGAGGCAAACCAATAGGTTGACAAGGACGAATTAGCACTCGTTCTTCGCAAAAAAAAAGAGCACCTCTCGAGAAGATGCACAGTGGAGGTGCCCTAGGATTGATAAAGCTACCTAGAACACCGGCAAATCTCATCGAGAGAATTGCTGAACGATAAGGGCATGGAAAAGTCAGTGTTTAGGGATAAAAGGTAAAGGTATATTTAATTTTTGATGATTGGATATATAAATCTATCAAATGATTGTGATCCTCTCATATAAATAGAGTGAATGGTCTTATTCAAGTAGAAAACTTATTTCCCACGAAATCTACATGTTCCCAGGACGAGTTTTCAAAGAAGAAAAAACACGAATTTGGATTCGAACTGCCAAAACCGGCTCAAGCCGGTTACAAAATTGTCCTAGGCCAGTTTATACAGGGCCCTCGCTACCTTTCTGCTAGAACCGACATGGTCCACCCTGGGCCGATTCGCCATGGCTGCACTATTGAAACTCATCTCCGGTTTTTACTGGTGGCCCCTCCTATGCTATCCAAACTGATCTGGGTCGACTTCTGGATTTTGTCAATTTTTCCCAAATCAACCTGAACTGATCCTTTTTATATTTTGTGTGATTTCTAGTCCATCTTCAACTCTTCCGGTCATATTTTGATTGTCAACAAATGCTCTTTGTTTTTAAGCAAAGCATATGCAAGTTCAAAAACACATGACACTCATAGCATCGATGTCGTGTTCATCGGCTATTTTTAGTCTAAGGGTAATGTATACATCGCCATGTTGATATTCTCCCAACCATCAACGGACCTCTCGAGCACAATTTCACATCTCGAGGCCTTCTTCAATCTTGTCGTCTTCCCTGAGATTACCAATTATCACATTTTTCCAGCAGTAGATTCGGCTTAATTGGACCAAACCAAGGCAATAAGATTCTTCAATTCCAAAGTATTGACTAGGTAGGACAATGTATCGATCTACATCCCTCAAAGACTCAATCATCCTTCATTAATGGCTGATTGGACTTACCGCCAAAAGTCATGGCAATTATTAGTAGTATAAGAAGCAAAATTATACCATTCACAATATGCATGGTGCTTCAATTCATTGAGGAGCGGTAAAGGATGCGACGATATTTTTATGTGACTGTTTTTCAATCTCTCATAAAATTGATCGCACTTGGATACATGAAATGTAAATTCTATTTCCTCTTGCCAATTCTTGTGAATCGGCTTGAGGGAAGAGTAAGCAACTGATTTCGCTTGTGTTGACCATACAAATTCAGCAATAAAACAATCTTTAGTTTCGTCGTCCGGGATATCAGATTACTCAATAGCATACATGTTAGCATGATGTGACTTATGAGCACTGTAAGCCTAAATAGTTGTTTAGTCCATTTACACACTATTTAAATTACACGATAGTACATTTTTTCCATTTAATTAGTTGTTTATCCCATTTAAATTGGCCATTATTTTGCCTGTTTAAGTGGCTGTTTAGCTCAAACAATGGCTAAATAGCAACTGACCGATAGTTTACCGTTTACAGTTTAGGATAATATTTCTTATGAGATTCTCCAATATTACTTCGGCTTTCATGCATTGACCAAAGCTTTTTGCAACAATTGAGTAATACTGAGAAACTCAAAGTGCTCTAGCTTTTCTTTTTACAACAAAAGCCAAATCAACAAGATCTTTTCTAAAAATTGTCAAATTAAAATATATGGGTTTAATATCTCTCTTTTGATGTAATCAAGGACGAACTCACCATGCTCTTGCTACCTAGCAGTTGACTGGATGAGTGATAAACCGAGGAGAAGTTTACAACATGTAGACATGTGCAAGTATGTAGAGGAAAATTTAGCTGCTCCAAAACCTCACCAAGAAATTAATAATTTGAAGCGGGACAAATGGATCAATCAGACTAATAATTACAAGAATGTTCGGGTAATTAATTCATAGCATGCCTAAAAATTTCAGTACAGGAGATTATATATACACGATATATATATTCACCTACAATCCTCCGTCGGCCCGGGGACAGGCATCTATGACTATTTCTATTTGGGAATTAATTAAAAGCACGGATTATTATTCTCCTAGTGTTTGCCGCCGCAGAAGCATATCTGGCTGAAGCACGCCCTCGAGAAAAGCTCCGCAGAGTTGGACTATACTATTAGTCTGAACTAGCTGCCTAAAATGAGAGGATCATCATGAAGATCGAGCACATGGCAGGTGAACTAGCTGAAGCACGCCCAAATAGTACGTCACCTGTGACCTGCTGCCCATAAGTTTTAGAGTTGCTTTCTCCGAACAGCAAATCCGATGGATCTGCCCGTTGGGTAGTGATAGTTTTTTTTTTGTTAAGAGTATATATATGCTCACTCTTAGTCAAGTGATTGGCAGACTTCTCCAAACTCGATCGCAACAAATTTGCTCGCTCAGTCTTCTTCAACGTACTAACTTCCACCATATAAGAAGCAATGGTGCCTTCACAAATGAATCTCTCTGCCGTCCTCCTAGTCGTCCTCCTCCTACCCGTCGTCATGGAAGCTGGTGGTATGTATGTGTGCACATGCATGAACTACATGTTGCAAGCAGCGATGTCATTTGATTAATCTTTTGCTAAAAGTTGTTTGATGCGCCTTCTACATTTGTGGCATAAAAATGTCCATGCCTGGATCTGAACCATGCAGAGTCGGTGTTCGTTGGGAAAGATCATTGCGGCGACGAACATCAGAGCGGCAATTATAAAGGGATATGCATTGGATTGATACATGACGCCGCTTGCAATCGTGTATGCGTAGACGAAAGCAGCGACAACTCTGGTGGCGTCTGTGACTTTTTACAATGCTGGTGCATAACCAGATGCACCTCTGAGACTGAGGCTGTTGCCAGTGCTCCGATCCGGCAATGATACAATAATCCCCGCCTGAACAATGATCCGATCCTTCCCGGCCATCGTCTAATAATAATATATAACATTGTATACTCGGTGTACCTGTCGGCTGTTTACTTATGTTGTGCCGTGGACTTGTGGGTCAAAATAAATTTGTATTTTCTTGGGCAAATATTGTTGATGATCAAAATTGGCATGTGACACCAATGCAGAAAGGCGCAACAATCTCGGTTGGAAAACCCCTTTAGTCCTGGTTGGAGAACCCCTTCTGTAAATCTGGGACTAAAGCCCCACCCCCCTAGTCCCGCGTTAGGGAACCGGGACTGAAAGAGGATCTTAAGTCTCGGTTGGTAATTCCAACTGGGACTAAAGGGGTCTCCAGCCCTTTCCCATGTGCGGGCACGTACCAACCAGTACTAAAGGTCTTTTTTTTCTTTTTCTTTCCTTCTCTTTTATGGTTTCCATTTCTTTTTTATAGTTTCTTTACAATTCAATTCTTTTTCATATCAATTAGTTTTTCGTATACGTATTCTATGCTACTAATATACGTCTATACATATAAGTTTCCGTTCGAGCATTATACATATATACACACACACAAAAATTGTATGAAACTATACATATATATTTCAAAAGCTTGTACATGGAACTATGCATAAACTAACAAAAGCTTGTACCGTGTCCTTGGGATTACATTCAATCCAACTCTTCATCACGCCTGGGATCTAATTTTCCGTTATAGTAGTACTTTCCATCGCGATCTATGACCTGGTCAATAATAAATCATGTTAATGCCTCTTGAATTGCTTTGATATGTTCCGATCGTACCCGATTCTTCTTCCATTTAAGCTTCGAATGAAAGAAAAAATATGAATATGTGATTAGTGTGTGTATATATATCAACACAATGGAAATAAATTTGTGTATACGTACTTCGAGTATTTCTTCACTAGTTTTCAGTGAGTAACTTTGACTCATAAGGTGCCCGCAAACGAACTATCCACATAAGTTGCTCCCCTGTTCTCAGACACCACTTTACGAGAAAACGACTCATCAAACAATCAAGCATGGTAATAATGAATTGAACGAAATAAAGATGCGGGGACTTAGCTAATACTTACTTTGTGGTTGATTAACTGTAATGGCACCTCCAAATCACCTAGATTTTTCGAAGCGAACTTTAGCCAAGCACTGCCCAAGAAAATAAATAAATAGTGTTATTCCCATGATATCAAAAAAATGGTGTAAGAGGTATAGTGGGAGACCGAAATTACCTCTGAAGAACATCTCACATGTCTTGGTACTCCTCTCTTTTTTCTCAATGAGTCCAAATAGTAACGCTGCTTCTGTCAGGATAGATGACCAACACTATCCAGTGAAAACTACATGTTTTACGCAGGCATACCTCATTAACTACACTCAACATGGAATAAGCAAAATAAAATACGTACAAGACAGTAACACTCACTTGAAGTTGTAAGCAGGGGCAGAGCCAGAGATGGAACATAGGGGGGCAATGGACAAGTGAAGTAGAACTAAACCATATCAAGTTTTAGTCACACACATATATATGATAGAAAATTACACATCTATTATCTGAAATTAGAAAAGGGGAATTTAGTTAGTGATTGTTGGTTAGATAAGAGAATACCACTAGATTATTAGGAACTACCTGTTGATGAAATGATGATAAGCTAACTAATCAACAGACGGCAATCATAGCAACGATGTCAATTTGGCCGGCGGCCGGCGGCTGTGGCGCAGCGTGGCGTCTTGGGTGATCGCGTCCTAAACTCACTCCCACGGCACCTCGTCTAGTCGAGCTGTCCATGAGAATTGAGAATGCCGAGAAGGTGAAGCGGTCAAACGAAAGCGACATGCGGCCGGCTGTCTGAGCAAGACGAAGACTGAGCGACGCTTAATTCATATTCACCACATCGTGCAGGAAGTGGAGCCATCAGATAGGCCTAAATGGGCTTTATTTAATGGGCCTCAAATGCACCTAGCGTTTGGGACCAATTACCAGTAACTAAACAACTATTAAATATTCCCTCCGTCCTCAAATAAATGAATTCCTAGAATCCGTGCAAGTCAAAACTATCTTAAGTTTAACTAACTTTATAAAAAATAGTAACAACGTCTATGACAAAAATGAGCAAATTATGAAAGTGTATTCTATGGTATATCTAGTTATACTAATTTGATGTCATAAATCGACGGATTTTTCTAGAAATTCATTCAAAGTTTAAAAAATTTGACAAAAAGACAACTCTAGGAACCTATTTATTCAGGGACAGATGGAGTACAAATATTAATAACCGCAGAATAGAGAGCCGAGTACAACATTGGGGGGTGCCAGGCCCTCCCAGTCCCCTTCCTCCACCACTGGTTGTAAGTGAAGAGTATCCTTGTCTTGTGATATTGTTTGTGTAAGAACCTGAACATTTTCCTCTACTTCCTTTGGTCTTTTACTTAACATTAAGTTCAAGGAGAGAAAATCAGATTGCATTGAATCTGGGCAGATCATCCTAGCGAGGATGATGGCAACGATGAGCAACAACGCTTAGAGCAACTCTAAGGGAACTCTTTATATCCTTCCTTATTGATAGGAATAGAAATTTTAGTGAAAAATATTCTTCAACAAATTATTTAATTAGATCTTCAAATATTGTCATCCTTTATTCCATATTTCTTGTTAGCCAAAGATGAAGATTGTGATTGACTAACTCCCTAGAATATACACAAAATATAGAAGATATGTTGGATGATGAAAAGATATAGACAATGATTTTTATCAAAATAGTTCTCTAAATAATAATTTAGAGATTGAGTTTTTAAGTTTACGCGAGAAGGGCACCGGGCCCGGCTCGTCGACTAGGCTGGCCCAGCCACTGGCCACACAAACGGCACACGTCAGAGAAGACGTTGTTTGAATCCTGAATATAGGAGAGGGGTACAATAACTTTTTTAGTACACAGTGTATTTAGATCCAACCAACCGACAAGAAAAATGAACTCTGTTTCCAAACATATATTTGTCACTTTCTGGATACTTTCAAACGCTGAATAAATCTCTAAGAGCCTAAGGTGCATATACAGTAAATTAGTACCATATTGCTGATTGCACGAAGGTGAAGTGTTTTTCTCCATATATATGTGTCGCCACCCAATGTGAAAAACTAATATATAGAGTATTAATTGGAGTAATATATACGTGTGACCCCATTGTGAAAAAAAGCTAATACAGTATATAGACTACCCTCTACTCATTGGTAGTCTATACAGTGTTTTTCAATCCGTATTTAATTGGGTCGCCGTCAACAACACCTGACGCCTTATCTACATAGAACTGATATGTGCAATGTTCTGTGATTAATCTCCTTTTTAATCTAGCTGTGTGTAGCTCTTTTGCATGTCTATATATTATACTTCTGTTACATATTATATTAGTTTGCATATTTATTTATTTATCTATCTAGCTATAGATACAGATTATCTATCAATAGATACATATATTAAATTTAACCTAAAAGTACCGACTATTCTAACAGTAACAGGTTAAATAAAATGTGCTTAGCAAGATATTCTATAAAACTTTATCGTTGTTTTTTATATTTATATTGTGTAATTATTACAATCTAGTAGTGCTGAGACTCTTTTAATTGAAGGGAAAAAAAGGTTACGATACTTGCAGTTTAGAAGCATTATTATTTGTCTCTCTTATTATTAAGAAAAAGAACACTTGAAACAATAATGGCAACTTAGGCCACAAATGAAGCATATATAATAAGTAAACCCAAGGTGCTCAAGCCCACGTCGTCTCTAGACGAGATCGGCCTCAAGCCCACGTCGAGATCGGCCTTGAACATAGGCATTGGACCATTGGAGTTTGTATATAGTTTACCATTTACCGTCCGCGCATATATAGCTAGGACTGGACGTATTTGAACCGGAGTATAGAGTCGCAGAAACAAACAAGCTTATTCTGCACCTCTGGAACTCGTACATCACAGCGCAGCCGGCCGATCAAACGCTCGACAGCAACGACCGGAAGATTTACCCCTCTACGAGTGATAGATCAGCGTTGGCGTCTGGAAGGTGGGCAGAAACTTGTCAGCACATTGACCGAGGATATTGAAGTCGATCGTGAAGTCATAGCCGCATATGTAGCGCTGCTTGGAATTTGGAACCTAGAGGGTGCAGTGACTCGGTGATGTGTGCAAGAGATTTAGATTGGAACCATGCATGTGTGGGCGAACTGAAATATATAGGATATTAACCTGTATAAGAGGTAAGATTCCTAATAGCGAACTGAAATATATAGGATATTAGCCTGTATTAGAGTCAAGAAGTCCTAACAGCCCTCTATATTCACTACGGGATATAGTCGTTTCGCCGAGTGCCAGGGGCACTCGACAATGGCCCAAAAACACTCGGCAACTGCTTTGCCGAGTGTAACATTCGGCATACAACACACGGCATCTTTTTGTCGGCAAACAGCTATTTGCCGAGTGCTTTTTGTCGGGCACTCGGCAAAGATTTACACTCGGCAAAATGAAAATGCAAAACAAAACCCAAAAATAATAGCAAAATATTTTTTTCAGGGGAGGCCGCCACCAGCCAGCGCCCGCCCGTCTTCATCAAAGTCGGTGCATTTTTGCGCTAAATTCGCGGCTAACGTGGCCGGCGGGATTCGAACTCACGACCTCTTCTTCGCGTTTCTGCTGCTCTACCACTGCACTACACTGTCACTTGTGTCAAGATTTCGTTATCTATCCTCGTATATTATACTAAACCGAGAGTAAATTGCTTGTTCGAGGCCCTAAACGAATTCAAATCAAAAAGTGGTCAACTAGAAAGTTTCATAACTTTTCAAGATCTACAATTTTTATTTAGGAAGTTTTTTTCCATCCGAGGTCGTTTGAAAAATTCGAATTTCAAATTTGAGAGATTCAAACGTAGTTTTACATGATAAGATGATTTCAAATCAAAAAGTTGTCAACTACATAGTTTCATAAC